TTTGGTGCCGTCATTTATGAAGTATGGAGATTCTGGCTTTCGTCATTCGGTGCTGTAGTTTTTGGTGATTCTAGCTTTCGTCATTCGGTGCTGTAGTTTCTTTGGTCGTTTGGTTCTGTAGTTTATGGAGATTCTGCGCTATAGATTTGTCGTTCTGGTTGAATTTTAGATCGGAAGCAGGAAAAGCATTAGTTGATGCACTTTCCAAAAACTCCACGCTGACGGTGCTGTTGTTTCAGAACCTTCGTCGTTTCTGGTGTCGTCATGATATCGTCGCGATATAATAGATTTTTGTTTTTTTTTTTTTTTTCTTGTGATATAGTTTTTTTTTTCTTTTTATACAGTAGTTTTTTTTATGATGTAATTAATTGTAATTGATTTGATGACGATAAGTTTTAATAAATTAAAATTATGTAATCAGTATTATTTGATCGAATTTGAATAAAATTTTATTAAGTGATATAATCGACCAATAAAAATCGATCACGTGAATCACTTGCTCAATCGAGCACATGATTCACGTGATCGATTTTGATTGGCCAATCATGGGGTCGCCATGGCGATGGGTCGCCCTAAAACAACGCCCATATTTAAAAGCTAAAAAGTTGTTAATTTAATAAAATTTTGTATAAATTAAATAAAACAAAAAATTTTTAGTAAAATTTTGTATACAAACAATAGCAAAAAAAGATTTTTTTGTTTTAGTTTTATACTATAATAATATTATATATATATATATTTTTTTTAATCATTAAAGATAAGGCCATGCCTCTATCTTTATTAAAATTTAATTAAACTTCTTTACAAATTAAATAAAGAAATTATATTAATTAAACTTTATATCTATAAGATATTAAGACTAGAGATTCAGATAGAACTCTTGCTAATTTAAAAGTTATAGAAATTATTTACAACCTAAACCTATCTAGGTGATCATAGCTCATCTAAATTTCTAAAGTTATTTGAATAGTATTAAGAGAAAACTAGGTTGCAATCATACAAATTTTTTATGTTCAAAGTTTGATTTTCTTTTAGCATAACCTATTTATATTTAATTATGATGAAAGTATATTTAGGTTCAAAATTATGGTTGATTAAGCGATTAAGAGCACTTATTAAATTACTTTTATGATCTTATTTATATACTTTTTGTATATAAAATTGTATATATTATATAATAAAATTTTAGACTATAAAAACAATGTTATAATATATCTTAATTTGTTAAATTTTATATTTAAGTTTCATAAAATTCATCTCAATGCTATTTTTTTTCTCAAATATAATTTAATTAAAGTAATTGTTGTTTAATAAAACACTTTGTAATAGAAATACTAGTGTGAATTTACTAAGCCAATTAGAGTTTATATTGATTTTTCCCTTAAATAATTAAAAAATAATCTTTTTTAGTCATAATAAGAAAGATTTTTATAAATAATTAAAATGTAAACAGTTTCTTATTTATTGAGATTCTGTGTAATAAAAGAAAACTATTATACAACTGCCTCTAAATACTCTGATCTTATTTAAAGGCCCCAATTAGCTTGAATAGTATTAAAGAATACTATAGTGATAGATTAAATAGGTTGAATAGTATAGTTTATAGAGTCAATATTATATTTACAAATAAATAATATTTCTAGCTTATTCAAAAAAATCTTTGCTATCTTGAATAATACCTGAAGGATAAAAATACAAGTCAGCTTACTTACTTGTTATTAATTTAAAAGTTAAATAAGCTAATTTATATTTTTATCAAGGGATTATATGAAATATATATAGGTTTAATAGATTTAATAATAATCTATAGAGCTTAAAAAATTATTGTATCTGTTGATAAATAGTATTCTATACTATAAGGATGAATAGTATTCTATACTATAAAATACCTTGTAATAAGTGTTGTATAATAGTTAAATTTATTAATAGAGTATAATTATTTCAATATATCAATATTTTAAATAATTAGCTTTTAAAAAAATATTTTTTTTTCTTTTTAGTCAAATAATAAATAATAATATTTTATAAATAACAGAATTTTCAATTTTGAGTTATCAACAATTTTACTTAAAAATGCTTAAATCTAATAGAAAAAAAAAATTTACCACAACAACAGTATAATCAACTTCATCTATCACTTCTAATCACTTATCAACCCCAAGGGCAAATGCTAGTTTTACATGCTTTTTTTATTAAGATAATGAAACTAATAACATTGTTGCATATTATAGACTTTGTACTTAAGAATTAAGATAAATTAGACAGAATTTAAGCACAACTGTATCCTTATAGTAAATCAGAAAATAGCACAGAAAACTTAGTAAAACATTTACATAAAAAGTATAATATAATTTCAAAGAATTATAAAAGATACCTCAATGATAATAAACAAGTAAACATCAATTTTCATTAAATAAAATTATTAAAGTTTTTAAATTAAGGCCATATAAAAAAATTTTTTGGTTTTCATAACCCAGCCAGGTCAAAATTTAAAAACTTTTAAAAAATTTTTTTATATGTTTTAAAAAATTTATAAAAAAAAAAAAAGCTAGCTAGCTGGGTCTGTTTAAATAGTTCTATGTTATAAAAACCAAAAATTTTTTTTGTATAGCCTAATACTGTATATATTTTTTATAGCCAATAATTAATAGATTTGTTGAATTAACAGATCTTGACTTATCTTTTCTGTCATCTATATAACAATAAGAATTAACAAAACTTGTTGTAAAGTTTATTATATATGATGTTCAGCTATTAAATATATTAGGCATAGCATGAGCTAGCTTCCAGCTTAGTGTTTAAAATTGGATTAAAAATCTCAGTTTATTCAGAATTGATCCAAATCTAATCCAAATCCAAAATTCAGATTGATCCAGAGACAATTTGAGGCCAATCCGATGGTTAATCCAAAATTTGTTACATATATTGTGATACATTATGTAATAAATTCAAAATTGTCGCATGACAAATTCAAACCTGTCACATTATTGTAATACAAAATATGATATATTTAAATTTGTCCTATAACTAATTCGAATCTATTACATTTTGTGATTATATAAAGATATGACTTTAAATTAGGCCCAATCCTGCTCAATCCAGTCCAATCTGAATTTTTTAGGCTAAAACTGATCTGATGATTGAAATTGGATCAAAATCTGAATTCAATTCAATTTAACTTTTTCGAACACTATTCCAGCTAAAATAATTATATTTGATAATAATTCATCTAGTATAAATAATATAAATCACTATAAAATTTTATCTAATAAATCAGTAAAGGTAGTATAGTCAAAGATTCGAAACTCACGTATGGTAAAAAAAAGTATCTCTTCTAATAATACTTCTAGAAAAAAAGCTGATCTTAAAAAATTAATAAAAGATACTAAAAGATTAGCTTCTATATATCTGTCTTTGCCTCATTCTAATGAAAAGTTACTTGTACTTCAAACACTAGCACAAAGATGCCCAGATCTATATCAAGATTCAAATTGCATAATATGTAATGAAAAAGTTAAAAAAGATCAAGATTATCTAGCAAGCTGCAAAAAGCAAGAGAATAGCTAGAAAATTGCGAAAAAACTAGCAGCAAATATAATATAAGCAGCTTTTTTAGAAAAACTCAAAAGAGAACAAACAAAATATACTCAAAGAACTTTCTAAAGAGAGTTAAAAAAAGAATCTCTAGAAGTAAGGGTGAAAGTAATCAAAGGTCTTATTTAAGAAGACAAAGTAGAAAAAATACAAGAAACTTTATAATTGAAAAAAGATGCTAAGATTTATATCAAACTTGCTATAGATATAGTTTGAAACTGCTTTTATAAAAATATATAGATAAAAAAATATAAGACAATACAAAGATGGGAAATTAGTAGAAGTATCACAACTAAAAAAAAATATAATAGCAGATTAATAAAAAAAAAAAAGTCAAGCCCAAGTATAGTTGAAACAAAATCACAGAAAAGAGGTTCAAAAATTAGAACTAACATAAAGAAACTGGAAAGGAATATTAGATTAAAAGAAGGATATAAAAAGAATAGAAAATAGATGGTTTAATAGTTTTAAAAAAGTAATTCAAAATAGTTGCAAACCCTTTTAATATGGTTTGTGTGGCTAACCTAGTATTAGCCTTCTGATTATAAAACAAATTTCAAACCAATGCAGCAAACTACTTCTGTGTGACCATGAGGTAGCTAGAGATGTCAGACCTAGATATTAAGCTTAATATTATGTAATCTACTTATATAATAATCTTAATAAAGAATTACTGGCAAGGTTGCCAAAGATTAAAAAAAATAAAAAAATAAAAAAATAATAATAATAACATATAATATAAAATTTATAATAAAATTTAAGAAAATATATATGAAAAATGTTAATAAAACTACAATTTATTATATTAGAAATTTTAAAAAAATTTGTATAAAAGATCTTGATCTTTTATTAATAAAATATCTGTTTAATTTGCTATACTAATTTAGAATAAATTTTATTTATGATTATTTGAATATTAAAATTTTATAATTTAAGTTTTTTAATTATAATAATTTGGTTCATTTGAAAGATAAATGCCAAAATAAAAACAATACCAAAAATTTTGATAGCCTATTTAAATTATAGTTTGTAATTACTGCAATAACTATTGAAAAAAAAACAAAAAACCAATATTATTATTAGCAAATAATATTGGATAAGTTTTACTCCAATGTGTATTCAAAACTTAACTATTTCAGAACAACTTTTAATTTTATTAGCCTACCTATGTGTGAACATTATATAATTAACAAATAGAAATATACTCATCACAAAGAATATATTATGACATTATCCCAAAATCTATCTTCACTATTAAAAGTCTTACCCTTACCGATCTTTAAATTATGTGAATACTTGAAAATAGTATTTATTAGTCAAAAAATTTCTCTAAATAATTATCTTAAAAGGTACTTCAGGTTCAGAAGAGCAAATTATTAACTACTCACTTACGTGGCTCTTAGTGCCTACGCCTGGATCTCCCTCCCAGTATACTAGCTGCTAGTGCCCTACGCATGGGCCTCTCTTCCAGTATACTAGTGGCAGTTATATAGAGTTTTTTCTTTCATATTATTTTTCAGATCACTTATTAATTTTTTTCTTTTTTAGATATGCATTTATTATTATATTGTGACTTTAAAGATGAAATTGAACCGAAAAACTGGAATGCTGTAAACTGCCTTCAATCATCAGAGTGTAGTTTAAATTTTCTGGAAATGGCCAGCGTTATGCAGAATTATACAGATTACGAAGATAATAAAAAAAATTAATTCTATCTTGGTGTACTAACAAAAGATGTTAGGGATGTGTTTTACATATTCAAACACTTCTAAATCTAATAAAACAACCTAATTCTAATGCTAATTAGATAAATAATTCATAAAATTTTTATATAGTGCTAATTCTGTGTATTAATAGGGTATATTATAAAATTTAATTATTAAATCTGGGACGACTCGGTCCGCATTTATAAAATTTAATAATAAGCCTGGGTCCGGCAGCGGGAATAAAAGTAGGCCTTTAACGCGGATCAGTAAAGACAATTAATAACTATAATAGTAAAGTAAAAAAAGTGTATGCCAAAAATTAGAGTTGATATTGGTTCAAGTTGGTGCCTTAAGATTTTGAATAGAAAACTGATTTTTTTGAATCTGTTTTTTAATTAAGTTTTTGTTTTATTACTTTCTTTTTTGTATCTAATTTCCATTTTCTAGTTAGTTTATATAATTTCCGTTTTCTCTTCAACTTATGTAATTCCATTTTTCGACCAGTTTTTGATTGTATAGAATTCCATTTTCTCGACAGTTTATCAAATTTCCATTTTCTTTTCAGTTTACATAACTTTATTTTTTGACCAGTTCTCGATTGTATAGAAGGAAGGCGGGCTATTGGACGAATTTTTGAATCATTTTTTAGATCAATTTTTGGAACGATTTTTAGATCAACGTTTGGATCAACGTTCGGCTCAGCTTTTGAACCAATTTTTGTTGGATTTTGTTGGTCATCCTTCCTATAAGATGAAAGGGTTGTCTTTTTGTTGTTACTATGAACATTTTTAGATTGATCAAGCTCCCAATTATTTTTGCCAAAGCGGAATTGTTTAAATGGTAAATAAGAATAATATTTTGGTTTATTATCAATCCTTACATGCAAATAAGGAACGCCTAAACCATGGGTAGATAACCATCGAGGTCGAGGAGTACCGATTTCTAAACTTTCAGATAGTTTATTAGCTACTTCTTGCCAAAACTTAATCTGTTGATCTTTTGGAGCCTTTTTAGTAAAATTACTAAGATTTTTATAATCAAGTTTGTGACAAGGCATAGGAACAATTAAAGTAGCGTCTTTTCCTAAATTAGAAAAGCTACAAACGTAATTATTATGACACCTATTAAGTTTATCATTAAAGCTTGAGCAATCTTGTTTCATATAACTTAATGCCTTAGATTTAGTTACTACAAATTCGAAATGATTATTTTTTGATTCTTGAGATACAGGGGGACATTCCCAAAGATAAGCCGATAGTTTATCAGTTGCATCATTTAAAGCATTTATAAGAGTGTCTAAAAAACGGTCATCTTCTGAACATAAAAGGTTTATAAATTCAGTATAATTAAGTTTATTGTCATTTGCATATATAAAGTGATATTTAAATGTATTATCATCATTATCAAAGGGAATACATTCATATCGATATGTAGAAATTGTTGATTCAGACATGATTTAATGAATATCATTATGAACTTGTACACACGTTTATATACATTATTATGGTCTGCAGATAATCTTTTTTTGGACAATTTACGTGCTGATCTATATAATTAAAAAATTAATTTGTCAATATCGATATTAGAATTAATTTAATGTTACCGTTGGCTAGAGTTGGACTTAAGGGAAGTTTCTTTTGATTAAGGAATGAAAAGTCCATGTATACATGTTCATATTGTTCGCTTTTGATGTGGTTGGCGTACGGCATGCATTATTATGCCATTACCCACTCGAACGGAGTTAACATTTCCTAGTTAGGTAGTTGTAGCATTGCAGCTTGTATGTCATAATACATTTCATTGTGTAAACTTTTATTTAAATTTCTAAATTTAGTTAAGTATGTTCCGTTCGGATAAAGTAATACTGTAATAACTAGCACTAGGGATGTGAAAAGTCGGTCCGGTCCAACTCGACTCCAGAAATCGAGTCTTACTTTGTACTCAGACTTAGGATTCCGTCATGTGAATACGTAACACCACATTATTTAAGTAATAGGTTCAAACTTTGAATCTTGTATTACAGTATATATTACTTAAATAACTGTGGTTTCACACGACAGGATGAGTTTTTGTCCCAAGTCTGCTTGGAACCGAGTACAAATTATGACTCGACTTCTGGAGTCGAGTTGGACCGGACCGAACTTTTTACATCCCTATAGTAGTAATAACTAAGACATTTCCTAACTCGTAAGGAATTTTTTTTGGTTAGGAGTTTCATAGAAGTCCGAGTTATTTTTTGGAAATTTAATCGTCTTGATTTTGAATTCATTTTAGCACCCAATTGGTAAATCATGAGTAATAATATGGATATATTGTAGCAAGCAATCAATTGTAAAATATTTAAAGGATTTTAATTAAGTGATTTATTATCAATATAGCAATGAAATTTCACTTCTAGCTGTTTTGGAAACATCATTAATTATTGTAACCGTTTTTGTTTCTTCAGCCAAAGTCATTGTTCTTAAATTTGGTAATTTAAATTGAGGAATGTCGCATAAGCTGCAATGTTCGACTACCTAACCAGGTAAATGTAATGGTGTGTGCCCAATGCAACTGCAACAAAAGTGAATAATAAAAGAAGTATACGTAGACTTTCTACTCCTTATTCAAAAGAACCAACTTAAACACAATCAAATTAACTCAGTTATAGGGCGGATTCAACAAAGAATCTGATTGGTCCGTCTGATCGAACTGACCGGTTTGTTGAGCCCATTGATATAGCTAAAATATATTGTTAAAAATGACTTTAATTATTAATTACACAATCCATAGTAATTCTGTACTCAAAGACTTTGTGCAGAAGATTATTTATTGAATTTTAAATTGTTGAATTAATTATAAAAAGCCGACGTTGCAACATTTTCACAGTTGACACAGTTTTAATTTTTTCAATAATTTATATACTTTATATATAAACATTTATAATCATTTTAAATTAATAATTAAATTAAAAGATGGGTAAAAAAAATTTTAAAAATCTTTATAAGCGTATTAAATCCGAATTAGGGGATATCACTTGCAAAATTTCATACTTTAGTGATAATTTTGACGAAAATAAAAATTATGCTGGCATGATTGTATATGCAGTTAATGGGAATTTTGCCTGGAATAATACTGGTGGTAAAGCATCAGGATATAAAGGAAGAAGCTTTTATGTTGTTATACAGTGTACCAATAACTGGCCATCTGATGTTCTTAAAGACGTTGGGAATGGTCAAGTTCATCACCATGTTATTAAAAGTACATTTGGATTTGATTACAATCAAGATATTGTTTGTTGCGGAGGATTTTCATATCATAACAAACAATTGAAATTCAGTAGTCTTTGGTTAAATGGAAGAAGCCAAGAAGGTTGGGAAAGTGATGGATCAAAGTATTTAAGCCGTCCTGAACAAATTTTAGTAGAGCATTGTTTTGAAGAATATAAAAAATTTGGTACTCATCATATATTTAAAATACCTGATTATATCGAAAATCAGATCATAAAGAATTGAAACATAAAAGTCATATGATATGATAGTTTTAATGTAATTCGATGTATATACATATTGTATCTATTGTTGAGCTCGCAGTCAACTTTAAAAAGCACACTATTTTTATATTCATCAATTTATAGCAGAATAACTTCAATGCTATTCCCCCACTCACGACAGCTCTTTGCAAGTTTTTTTAAATATTATTCTGCGGATAAGAAATTCACATAAAATTGGAAGTTTCTTTAGCTTAATAAAGTTTTTAAGTTGATTATTAATTGTTAATTGATTTATTAAAAATTGCTTAAATAATATAAAATACTACTGGTTTTAGACTATCTCCTTTTCCCCATGGATCTTATATTACAATAAATAATTGTTCTGTTTCAACAGAAGATCCATTACTTTGAAAGAGCAAACAGCTGTAATAATAATGATAAATATATAGTGCTATCAACTAGAATGGATTAATTTTTCAGGAGATCGCCAGTTGTGTGTATGCATGTCTGTAAAATATACTTGACCTTCGTTAATATCAACCTCATTAATATCAACCTAAATAATAAAAAGAATTTCCATGTATTTAAATTATATTCAAATTCCATCCTATATATCAACTTTAATATGATCCCTCATTAGTATCACTATCAACATGAATGTAAAAGCAATCCAAATGGGTTGATCTTAGAGAGGGTTAAGTGTAATATGATTAGACCTCCAAAGTTATGTTTATTTTGTGAACAGAAATTAAATATACCAGTCATCTAGTCATCCAATTTGAATGATCTTTTTTTTTTTTTTTTATTTGTGGAGCTTATTTAGCTCCACAAAATAAAAAATAGTTCATTTAAATGGGATAACAAGATGGTTGGGAAATTTAATTTTTATTTTTATTCACAAAATCAACATAGCCTCGGGGTCATTTTCTTAGCAAAGATCCCATATGTGTCTGTTGATGTTCCATGAAAAGCTTTATAATGCTCAATCTAGAAATATATTTTTAAATAAATAGAATGTGATATATTTTTATAGATTTAAATAGTGGTGTCTTAAATTCTGAAATAGTGATTGGAACCGCGAAATTTTTTGTTAATCGTTAACCGCGTCTTTTAACCTAGATGAATCATAATGGTAATCATTTAACCATTTGACATTAACATATAGTACAACTAAACGTAATATACTAAATTAAAAGTTATCATACGATAACTTTGCATAACGAAATAGGTTATATATTGGTGGTGCTAATTATGCACATGACTTACTCAAAGTCTTGAGTGAGTTGAGTCAATGGTCGAGTCGAATGAATCAAGTCAACTCAAAACGTCATGTCCAAATTATTTTCCTGATTAGAAATAGGATTTGTTCCATTGTAATGATGGGCATCGAAAATATTTTTTGCTCGAAAAGGTTTTGTCAATGGTTTCGTCTGACGAAATTTTGATGATTGACGATTTTACGAAACTCTCGAAGAAATTAATTTGACAAATAAAATATAAAAATACGGTTGCCCCTTTTTCTTGGATATTCTTATTTTTAAATTTTTTTAAAATTACAGTCATCTAATAAAGTTTTGTCGATACATATGAAAACATATATTATTTAAAATATCTAGAGATGTTAAAGAATTATTTTTACAAAAAGCACCTGTAACTAATTGTCACAGTCAGGATCGGTTCTCCGATGAAAGTTGGGTCTCAAAGACCAGTCGGGGTAATCATACTGTGATTTGAATTATGTAATTAGGATGCATGATCATAATTGCACGATAACATTGATATTGGATCATGCGATGATATTAATCGTTGCATGACCAATATCTTATACTTATTCGACACATTTTGCTCAATATTGTATACATACTCAATTATGAGTTCGAAGACTTTCCTTGCAAATTTTTCATATGGTTAAAACGAATAGACAGGAAGGAATATAAAGTTAAAATATCCATACTTCTCTCACACGGTATTTAAAGAATATCCAGCTATTAAGCCCTGCAACATATGGGACTCTTACAAATCCAGAAAGCGTTACGAAGATTAT